AATTAAAGCCAATAGTTTAGTTCATGTTATTGCCCTTCAAAATATTATAATAGTTAAAAGACGTAACTAAAAGTGAGACTGTGTATCGTGATGTATTATTATTCTGCTATAAAAATGTATTATCATGCAGTAACAATATTGCTCTGAGCTTGTGCGTGTGACAGTGATTCATGCGCATACATGTCAGTCAGCATGGCATCACACGTCAAGTTCGTAAAGAGCTTTGTTCAGTCCATTTCAAAATCTGATTTTGGCCGCCTCTCAATTATTCAAATGGGTTAAACCAAAGATATTACCTCAGAAGTTCAAGTAAATGCACTAGAAATCCGCGCTCATTCAAGGGTGTGCATCTACTGCATGGACGGAGAGAAAGCACTGACACCTGCAGGATTTCATCTGACGGTACTTTCACTAAAAAGTTATAAGCATATCTGTTCCGTGAGAGCAACAGTACCGCATAACGAGTGTGCATGGTCTCTATATCTATAGACTTTTTTAGACATCCATTAACGTTAGTGCATGCGAGGAAAACAACTGGAAATACAGCGCTAGTTGTTCTCTCCATACTCGACAACGTCGAATCCAACGGCGTGGGCGAAGGTATAATGCGTGTATTAAATTGTATGAAATAATCCCGAAAAAGCACAAACACGGCAGAGATGGCAAGTACAGCAGCTGCTGGAATAAGCTCAGAGTGACGTTAACAGACAGCAGACAAACGGCCGCAATCCGCCTGTCACTCAAGTGGGCACGCCCTTAATTATGCAGGCTTAAAGGAGAACTCCGGCGCAAAATGAACCTTTGGTCTAATTACACATTGTTACCTAGTCAACCGTTATCTGAGATTTGTTTTCATGATTATCGAATGTAAATAGTTTTATCTCTAAAAACAGTTTAGCCTATATATGGAGCTAATAATATGACAAAATGATTTGAATTTGAATTGTGTAAATTTGAATTATTTGCAAGTGTAGTCTAACAAAACTGAATTTTAAATAGTTCTGAATTTGAATTTTTTTGGAACGAATATTGAACATCTGAAATTTAACAAACTGAAAGGTTTTTATGGCTGAATTTTATAGACATGTATTTTCAAACAGCTAGTTTTTGTGTTCTGAATTCAAATACTGCAAAATTTCAGTTTAAAAAAATCACCAAAAAGACACGGTGGCGTTCTAATCAATTTTACACAAAATATTACACAAAATATACTTTAAAACAAACACCAGAGACCGCTTAGACAAATGTATCACGTGCTGAGAACGCTAACCTAACAAACACAAAATCATTCTTGTTTAACTTACCTCCGGGCGATTCATGATCAGAGTCAGAGAGCGGCAACCTCTTGAACCACCACGTTCGCACTGGAAAACTTCTGCAGTCCCTAATTGGCCAAAATGCTCTGTTCGACTTTTCCGAGATCATCTACTCTTCCCTGTGACCGACTTTCTGTAAGACCTGAATTTTTGACATTGAATTTTAGAAAACTGAATTTGACGTTCCGAATTTCTTCATCTTGAAAACTTGAATCCGTATTTTTTTAACTGAAATTTTGCAGTATTTGAATTCAGAACACAAAAATTAGCTGTTTGAAAATACATGTCTATAAAATTCAGCCATAAAAACCTTTCAGTTTGTTAAATTTCAGATGTTCAATATTCGTTCCAAAAAAATTCTAATTCAGAACTATTTAAAATTCAGTTTTGTTAGATTACACTTGCAAATAATTCAAATTTACACAATTCAAATTCAAATCATTTTGTCATATTATTAGCTCCATACCTATAAAGCTAGTATAACGCTAGTGTATTGGGCATAGAGTAATGACAAATAAAAATCGCTTGTTAATACCACTAACAAGGCTCAAAATAGCCCCACACTAGCACGGTAGCATAATGAGGGTCCCTACCTTCAAACCGAAACATTGAGAACTTTGTCAGTGTCCAGACAGTTTAATAAGAAGATATTTATACATACAGTCAACTTCGCGTATACAGGCAGAAGCCATCTTTGAAAAACAGTCTCTACCAGTCGATCTACGAACGCCGATCCAAGCCTGCTGTTCGCGCTCACCTTATCACAACTTATAGCTCGTTCACATCTCACCAGCGCACTTGGATCGGCGTTCGTAGATCAACTGGTAGAGACTGTTTTTCAAAGATGGCTTCTGCCTGTATACGCGGAGTTGACTGTATGTATAAAATATCTTCTTCACATCACATTATGGACCCGATGGACATGTTCATTCACATTCAGCAACCAGAAAGTCTCAAAGCACTGATTTTGTCTTAATTAGGAATATGTGTATTGTTGTATGATTTATTTATTTTTGGTTACACTTTATTTTAAGGTGTCCATATTACAGTGTAATTATACATTTATACTGAGTAATAAAAATGAACTACATAGGGTTAGGATTAGGGTGTGGTTTAGGTTTAGTTGCATGTAATTATGCATTAAACGTGTGTAACAAGTAAAGTAAACACTGTAAAATAAAGTGTTACCTTTTTTAGTGTTGCTTTAAAAGTGTGCCTATGCTATTGTTCTTTTAAATAATTGTAATTTTACTATTTAATAATATGACATTTATACATGACTTAATATCCAGATAATTTTTTGATGACCACTGTATACAAATATGAGAATTGAAATTGAATGATGTTTTCATATGAATTTACATTAACTAATGATATGTCAGTGTTCTATAATGTAAAAATGTTTTGCAATATAATCAATGAAAGTTATTTTAAAGTTTAAGGATTTCTGGTTTCAGCATGAACTCATATGGAAGCCCATTTCTGCCACATAAGAAAAAAACATCCCTCAGTAAATTCTAATTATGATATAAAAAGTTTAAATTATCGGATAAAGTCCTTTAAAAGTCAGAATTATGACATACTAAGTCATAAAGAGATTATGATAAGATAAATATAGAGTCACACTTTAGATTGGGGTACACATAATTTACTATTAACTATGAGTTTTCCCTCAAACTCCTTATTACTGCACCTAGGGTAAGGTTAAGGGATCTAGAATATGGTCATGCAGAATAAGGCATAATATGTGCTTTATAAGTACTAATAAACAGCCAACATGCAAGTTGTCACGGGAGGTGTATGCAGAGGAAGACGAGAAGTCGAATTTCCAATAACAATAAAATTTACTTATAATAATAAACTCACAGGGTACAAACAGGCAGACGGGCAGAAGGTAAACACTGGTGATAACAACTCGTAACAGAGACACCTTACATTGACGAGAACCGACAAAGACTAACTGAACAGAAGGAAACTAAATACAGATACCAATGAACAATGATGAGGTGAGGACAGGTGACAGGGATGATGATGACGAAGAACAGGTGGGTGATTGAGGGAGTGAGTTAAGGTGTGGAGACAAGAAGGATTCTGGGAAGTGTAGTGAAGACGAAGACAGAATGGTGCAGACGACGACTGTGACACAAGTAATATGCATGCTAATACCCAAAGTTATTAGTGAATATTTGTACCTAATCTAAAGTGTTCCCAATTATAGTAATTATGACTTTTATCTCATAATAATGACTTAGTATGTGGTAATTTCAACTTTTTATCTCATGATTATGACTTACTGTATCATAATTGTGACCTTTTTATTTCATAATTATAATTTTCCAAACTAATATTAACTACGTCACTAATATTGTCCTCCAAGGAACGTAGCTCATTTACATAGGAAAAACGGCTTAAGCTGTTTCAATTATATCAGATGTGATGGAAACATTCCCTACATGCACCCCAGCACATGGACCATTGTTAATTAATTAACTACAAGCAGAACCAAGCAATCCGCACTAAAATGGCCTGAATAACCAATTAAAATCCAGCCCATGTTGGTAGTGATGACTCTGCTGTATTCGTTTCGTCCCCTCATTACCAGCAAATTTAGCATTCCTTCCTCATTACCATCCCTTCTCCTCCTTTCTGTCCAAATTAGTCACTGTGGGCCATCCTGGTGTATGTCGGAATTTGATTTCTTTTTCTCACTGTCGCCTCCCTGCGTCTTTTGTTCTGTCTTTGTGCTTTTACTTCCTTCTCCAATGTTCAACACAGATAAGACTATTGGAATAATGTGTTGGGCCACAGATGGCCTGTCGAGGCATTTGCATTCCCTGGATTTCAGGGCGACCATTTCCTCTGTTTAACTGCGATAAAGACTTTGTGTGTCTCGTGTGCTTAGTTCTGTCTGGCTGACTGTATTGAACTGTCCAACTGCTGACACCATCAGATTACACGTTTGTTTTCAGTTTTCACATAAAATAGACTTTTATTACTTTAAGTCCTTTATCTTTTCACTGTAAAAAGTGATCCGTTGACTTAACTTAAAAAAGTGGGGAAACCCGTGGCAATTTGACAAACTTGACAATTACACATAACTTAATTTTTTCAATTACGTATAAAGTTTATTTACTTAATCATTTTGAGGCAACAGGTTTCCTCACTTTTTTAAGTTAAGTCAACTGATCACTTTTTACTGTGATGAAAAAATAAATTGAACATTATTTTGAGTACAATTTTCTAACTAATTTTCTAGTTCTAACTAACTAAAGGCAATTAAAATTCAGGGAATTTGCCATTTCTTTCTCCCCCAATATTGTACAAATGTTTGTTACATTTCAGTTGTTCACAAGTATTTAGTATAACGCTATATAAATGCCTCATTCATTCATCCATTCATTCATCACCAAACCAATGGCTTACTTAAGCTGCGATATTAACATTGAATTATACACTTGACCTTTAAAGATTAAATTTCTCTTGAGAGCTCAAATTAATTTAATTGGGAATTCTTAGGAATTTATAATTAACACTAGCTGACACAGACCAATAATTTAGTGCTTATTAGTTCAGCATGACGGTTCGCATAGTATGTATTTCTACTTAAATGGCAGATCAAGCTGTAATGCTTTTAAATGCTAAGTGGTGTATCTAAAATTCTCTCTCTCCCTTTCTGTCACGCAGTGCTTGGGACCGTCCCAGCCGAGTGCCAGTGCAGGGACCTGGAGCTGGACTGTGACGGTGCACACTTTAAAGATGTCCCCACAGTATCCATTAATGTCACCATGATGTGAGTTTCATGCCCTATGTGTGGAGCGTGGCTGCAGTTTGTTGAGTTTGTGTGACTTTTTGGATGTGCATGAGATGCCAAAGCCCTGTGGCTTATCAGAAGCTGCTTACCTACTGCTCACCTACTTTACACTACATGGTGAATATGTAGGGGACTGAATAAAGATTTGTCTCAAAATAGTACTTTATAAAACAAGAGATGATTGCATCAAAGAGTAGTGTGATGTATTTGATTTTGAGTCTTAATTAACACTGAGTGCCTTCAATTTGTGAGCACTGAAAACTGAGATAATTGCATTAAAGGTAATCGTGCCAATATTATTCTCCACACAACATAACTGTGAAGCTTGGTTCTCATTTTTCGCTCAGTGCCTCGTGAAAATATCTATTGTTCACATAATAACTGGCTGATATAAAGCTTTTTAGCAGTTTAATATGTGGATCTGAAATGCATATTTATGAATCAGTTGAAGCTGCTTCTTTAAGGACCAATTTCCTGTTTTGCGGCTATTTGAATTTCCGCTGTTCATTAGTATGCCACTGCCAAACAGTGCACATCTACCTTTCAGTAATGCAGAGAATGTGGCAAGGTGTATTAATGCAACGTCACTCTCTGATTTCAAGTAGACACACTGTGTGCCTTCTCTCTAAGGTCTCATCATGAAAATCATTGCTTTAAAACAGCATCTCTTTATTAGGTGAAACATCTTTTGGTTTTTCATAAAGTCAGACATTGCCATTCAATCCTGTTTTTATTACACACACACACACACGAGGACTCAGGAAATGTCCTCTTAAACCAATGTGTGTGTGTGTGTTACATGCATGTTATTCCTAGGTTTATGAGTGCATGTAACTGGATTAGTGCGATGGCCATATCAGTCTAAAGTAATATGATCTAAATAATGATATCAATGTCTCCATTTTCATGTCATATCACTTTATTGAAGTGTTGTCAGGTAATTCATAGCATAGCTTTGACATCATATGTTTGCTTAGTAGATTGGTGCCTAACTATGTCTACATTATGTCTACACCTGGTGCAACCGTAGTCACGACGCATTACGCCGCAACAGCTTGAGGCTGTCTACACTAGACACTGTTGCAAAATCAATTTGTCCTTTGTGTCAGAAGTAGCGCAAGTGCTTCGAGCATGTCAGAAACAGAACGGGGCATCAGCTTACTGTCAGGATTTATCATGTCACGACACGCCGCATCTGGTGTAGAGAATATCTATCTATCTATCTATGTAGTTATTTCTATCATTCTATCTATATAATGTTCTATCTTTTGTTATATCGTATACAAACTGTAAAAGTGTGTGGTGACTGTTGCGCTCTATTATGATATGTAAATTTCACAATTTCGTTGATATTGCAGGTCTCTGCAGAGGAACCGGCTGCGGAAGCTAAATGCTGACATGTTCTTTATGTACCAGAGCCTTCAAAAGCTGTAAGAGCCTCTCTGCTTCACTAAGTATATCTCCGCCTTGTCATTGGACTGTGTGGATGCTGTAATGCTATGAATGCTGCCTTGGCATTATCACAGGTGTTTAATAAAACGTTGCTTGCTGGTCTTCACGGTGCTATTGTAGTAAGAAATGTGTGGAAATAGAGAAGATGTTGAGTGAGATTAAACAATCCCTGTGGAATAAAACATTCAGTGCTCTCCACAGGAGCGAGCTGAGAACTGAAGTACTTGAGAGAGTTGTCTTTTTTTAACCTGACAAAAATGGCTCAATGGTTTTCTTTCCCCAGCTGTTGAATTTTTCAAGTGTGTCTTAATCTGACATGCTCTCTTGTTGTGCGTATATCGTCTAGTTGTTTCGTTCAGAAGTACCAGCTGAGTCGAACAAAATCAGTCCCATATTTTTGTCCTTGCCCTAACACTACACTTGATCTAGTGACAGATGCTTCAATGTATGATCAAACTTAATCTCAGAAGTGGCACAAAAAAAAAAGAAAAAAAAGAATGGTATGGGAATAGAAGCCACAATGCAACTTTCCTTACACAATTGTGTAAGATTTGGATATTTTTTTAGTTTATTTTTGAGCCATTGGGAATGAATATGAATACAGAAAAGTTTGATGTTAGCAGTGCAATGAGGTTTAAATGAGGTGAGAAAGACTAGTCAATTCGCCTTATTCACCTGGCGGCCATTTTAAAAAATCGAATGCCGTTGAGGGGTACACAAATCCGGAAGTTTGACTCCGACGCAGCTGTCGCAGCAGCACCAGCAATGGAAACTCCAGTGTGGACCATCAATCTTTCTTGTCTGCCCGAATTAACGATGCAAAACGTGGAGCAGTGGGCCAGTACTGACTGCAACATCCCCTGGGCTGTGTTAATTAAGGGATACAGTAGGGGTGTAACGGTACACAAAAATCACGGTTCGGTACGTACCTCGGTTTTAAAGTCACGGTTCGGTACGTTTTCGATACAGCAAAAAGTAAGAAATGCCAGAGAAATTTCCTGTTTGTTAAAAGAAAAAATATTTTTTAAATAAGTGTGAGTTTTCCTACATCTTGAAACTTTCAGGTTTATAAATGGGTGTCATCTTTGAAGGATGAACAAATAATGTTTTGGTCATCACATTAAAAATAACATTTAAATATATGAAGAGTTCAGATGCAAAATCCATTTGAAATTTTCTTCTAGAATGATAATTTTTATCAAGCTTGTATATTTAAGTTCAGTAATTTCACTTAAATGGCAAAAATGATCATTCTAGAAGAACATTTCAAATGGCACTTAGAGGCTTTTGCTTCTGAACTCTTCATATATTTATTTATATAATATTTGAGTTTTGAAGTGCTGGAAAAAGATGTGTGAAGTACTTGAAAGCATTTCACTATTCCAGCCAAACTGGTTACAGTTAGTGTTACTATATTAAATCCATGGTGAATGTTGCTGGTCTGTGGACGTAAAGTATTACTAGTTCATTCACGGCATAATATTTCACCTGGTGTCCACGTCAGCGCTGTTTGATCTAATAGAGATCTACGGTTAATAACGGAGAAATGTGAATGCTTCTCACTAGATCTCGCAGCGATGTTATTACTTCAGTGGCGAATTCAAATGTTTTCTTTACTGGATCTTAGCGCTGTGTTGTACCAGTGTCGCTTGATCGAGATCGGCTCGCGCTGCACAGATGTTGCTGGTCCGAACTGATAAACGATCCGTGAAGCACATAATGAGTAACGCAGTTTCGTTCCGCTTTCATTACGCTTACCATTTGATGGTGTGCAACGTTGTGGTGATCGCGCCAGCGCGAATTTTGTCGGCAGGAAAAATTATCCAAGGAATCGTTCGGTTTGTATGCGTACCGAACCGGAAGCCTCGAACCGAAACGGTTCAATACGAATACATGTACCGTTACACCCCTAGGATACAGTAATTGGATCGAAGGTTTTATCCACGACATTGAACGTATGAATGGACGCCAATTTACTTCTCACGTCATCCATGTGTAATACAATTGTACTATATTCTTTCGATAGATACACAGATAGATACACATCCAGTAGCTTATACATACACACACATACACGTAAAACAATCAAATCACTCACAGGTATGTAAAAGTAAAGAGCATGAGAAGTGATTATAAGGTCTGACAGGGACTGATCCTGTTACACACTGACCATGATAAGGTGCTATGGTAACAATACAAGTTCACATATTTGTATAGATTCATAAAGAAGAACAATAATGATGATTAAGGATTTGCATAGATTCATAAAGAAGAACAATAATGATGGTTAAGGATTTGTATAGATTCTAATCTAACATAGTACACAGTCAACAACTCCATATCCAGTTACTCCATAACTGGCCAGCAGCCATATCACCCTGTAGCCCAAGACTGGTTGCCCACTGAAGCTAAGCAGGGCTGAGCCTGGTTAGTACCTGGATGGGAGACCTCCTGAGAAAACCAGGTTGCTGCTGGAAGAGGTGTTAGTGAGGCCAGCAGGGGGTGCTCACCCTGTGGTCTGTGTGAGTCCCAACGCCCCAGTATAGTGACGGGGACACTATACTGTCAAAGAGCACCGTCATTCGGATGAGACGTTAAACCGAGGCCCTGACTCTCTGTGGTCATTAAAAATCCCATGGCACTTCTCGTAAAGAGTAGGGGTGTAACCCCGGGGTCCTGGCCACATTCCACCCATTGGCCCCTGCCAATCATGGCCTCCTAATAATCCCCATCCACTGAATTGGCTCTATCACTCTCTCTCCTCTCCAACTATAGCTGATGTGTGGTGAGCGCACTGGCGCCGTTGTACTGTGGCTGCCGTCGCATCATCCAAGTGGATGCTGCACACTGGTGCTGGTTGAGGAGAGAACCACTGATATGATTGTAAAGCGCTTTGGGTGTACAGTAGTACATATGAAAGCGCTATATAAATGCCTCATTCATTCATTCATTCATTCATTCATATCAAAGCTAAGCTTACTACCCCTAGCTGCTACAAGCTAGCAGAAACTGAGGTAAATTGGCGTCCATTCATACGTTCAATGTCGTGAATAAAACCTTTGATCCAGTTACTGTACCCCTAATTAACACAGCCCGGGGGATGTTGCAGTCGGTACTGCCCCACTGCTCCACATTTTGCATTGTTAATTCGGGCAGACAGGAAAGATTGGTGGTTCACACTGGAGTTTCCATTGCTGGTGCTGCTGCGTCAGAGTCAAACTTCCGGGTTTGTGTACCCCTCAACGGCGTTTGAGTTTTCAAAATGGCCGCCAGGTGAATAAGGCGTATTGAAGAGTAAATTTAACCGGATTTTATTGGTGCTTGGTTGTGCAGAATTCAGCGCTGTTGCTATGTGGTTGCTAAGGAGTAGTTTTAGTGCTTTGTTATATGGCTGCTAATGGCGCTTTTCCACTGGTTCGGCTCAGTAAGGTTCGGCGCGGCACGGTTCGGCTCGCTTCGCTTTTCCACTGCGTGGCACGGAACGGCTCGGTTCGCTTTAGCTCGGTTTGCTTTTCCACTGCAGTTAGTACCGCTTCAAAGTGGATGGGATTATAGTCTGACCGTTATAGTTTATCCGCTCCTCGGCAACCAACGAGAGGAAGCACTTTGCACTTTGTCCACTGACCACGATTCAGCCATTTCTTTTTTGGAAGTTTTCTTTCTTTCTTTTTTCTTCAAGCAAGTCAAGCAAGCAGTTTTAAAACAGGTGCTACAGTGGTGGCTGTTACTGGCTATTTAAATCTAGCGGATTTGATGTCTTGCAAATACAATGACGCTGGTAGTGACGATTCTGTCTGACCAATCAGTGATCTGCAGTGTGTTCACGTCACATTTTACGGTACGCTTGGAACCTCAACAGAGGTGGTACCATTTAAAGTGACCCGAAGCGAGCCGTACCGTATCATACCATGCAGTGGAAAAGCGCCACAAGGTGATGTGGGTGATTGCTTACTGGCAGAAGTCAAAACCGTGAGCCCATGAAATATATGACAGTCTGGTACCAATAGTAGTCTCTTTTTCTATGGGATTATACACTACCATTTAAAAGTTTAAGGTCAGTAAGATTTTTTCCACTGATATCTTAAGCAGCACAACTGTTTTTAACATTGATAATAATAAGAAATGTTTCTTGAGCAGCAAATTAGCAATATATGTAATGATGCTAAAAATAAAAAATAAAATCCTGAAAATGATGCATGGATAAATGCAGCCTTGGTGAGCATATGAGTCTTCTTTCTAAAACATTAAAAATCCTACTGACCCCAAACTTTTAATACAGTTACATTTTGTGTTATCTTCTCTCTTCTCTTTTTTAACGCTTCCTGTAAACTGTGTTTCAGGTATCTCCAGCACAACCGCATTAAAGCGGTGCACCCGCATGCTTTCAGAGGGCTTTACAATCTGACGAGACTGTGAGTTTTAAAAGTCAGCTGACATTTCTATTGTCCCTTCTTAGCATAAAACTTTCTTATCAGCCTCATCTGCTGCCTTTCTTCAGAGAGGGACGAATGGTCTCTCAGTGAATGACAGACACTTTAGTTTGCTTATTTTTTTCTATGGGCAAATGCTTTTAAATGTTTTTTGGCTACCCTCAGACAGGTGTAATCTCTTATTTTTCTTCAGGTATCTCAGTTCTAATCAAATTACCACCCTACTTCCTGATGTATTCCAGGATTTGCACAAACTAGAATGGCTGTAAGTGTTTCTTGTCATTCTCTCATCTGCTTTCTAAATGTCAGCTAAAACCAGATGGATTTCCTCATTCAGTGCTTTTATGCTTCAAATCAATTAACTGCAACAGGAGTCGCAATCAATAAACATTCTGCAATGATGACCATATAGAAAACACAAAACTGATGTTAATTTCTATGTGATATCAGCTAAGGAGTGATTTCTTTAGCTCTCATTTGCAGTCGCCAAAGATCTGCTCTAAAGTAAAAGGAATGATTTGAACTTCCATCACACATCTAATTGAATGCCAATTATGGTTCATAACCCTTATGCATACATTAGTGTCCCCGGAACAAATATTGGAAAAAGCACTTCAATTTCTGAGGCTGCAGTGTTTTTGAATGAGTTTCTCCTATTTTTCCTGAAGGATTCTGGAGAACAACAATATTCATCACATCTCCTCTTTGACCTTCACTGGTTTGCGCTCCCTTGTGCTGCTGTGAGTTTCAGCCTGTTGCTATTTTGGTGACACATCTACTGCCTTTCAAATGTAAATCTTATGTTTTAACAAATGCATAGGAGCCATTCTCTAAGAGAGAGAGTGTGTGTGTGTGTGTGTGTGTGTTTCAGAGTATTGTTGAACAATGCTCTCACAAAGCTTGACGATATTTGCCTGGAGATGCCACGGTTAAATTGGCTGTAAGTTTGAATACAACACTGTCCTGATAAAATCACTTGTGTTGTTATTTTATTTTTATGGTTGCAGAGCTTGTAGAGAGCACTTTAAATTTTGCTCCCAGTAAATCAATGTATGCATTTTGCTTTAAAGGGGACCTATTATGCAAAATTCACTTTTGTAAGGTGTTTGGACATAAATGTGTGTTGGCAGTGTGACACTGCCAACACACATTTATGTCCAAACACCTTACAAAAGTGAATGTGTGTACACAACCACCCTACAGTGATAAAAATCCACTCACTCCTTTTTTTAAATCCCCATAAATCATAAGCAGTGTCTCCTAACGACCTGTTTTCAGAATGCGGCTTTAGTGACGTCACTAAAGCCACTGGCCCCGCCCACGAGTGTTGACAGACATTGCCGTTTTAACTTAGACCCGCCCTGATCGAGTTCACAGCAAGTTGTACACATCCGCCATTGCTGCACTAATGAGAATGTCTCCCAAGCGTTGAAGGTGTTGTGGCTGATGTATTCATTCACATAGCTCTCTCTATTTACTCCTGAAATCTGAGCCACCAGTTGAAGATGAGGTGGGTTCATTTTGTCTTTGAAAAATGCTCCCTGAACTCTACCGAATTTTGTTTATGTAACTTACCTACTCACTTCTTATAGCTGCTACTGTTTAATCAGCTCTTACAGTGATTTTCTGGAGTAAAACTGACGCTTATTCTTTGGTGTGACATACAATAAACTTTATTAAACTCTATTAAAAAGTATATTTTGTGTCATCATTCAGACATGGTCCTACTACAGCAGGCTTGTATTAATAGTGGCTACAATCAATGACACAGGTTATAACCGTAATTAAACAAACTATACCTGTTCCAACTCCATACATCATTCTCTGATTCTGTAGGCATTATTGTCCGAGTCGAAATGAACACAGTTACTGTGAGTTTCTGTATACAGCGTGAGACTCACGCAATTGAGCCAATTCTCACGCTCTCACGCCACACACGCGATTTCTCACGCTGAAGTGTCAACCGGGTCGGTCAAATGCCTGAAAGATAAGTTTATCTATAGATCTACCAGTTGAGCCATTCGTGATCGACTAGTTTTACCGCAAACTAGTTAAAATATCCTGTAATCTAGAGCGAGCGTGCATGCGAGACAGATGTGTTGAGCTCCTAACGGCGCCGTCCTAACCGCGGACGCGCACGACAGCAGAGAGGTAAGCGAGCGAAAGAGCTTGCGTGTCTTTCGCAACACAAAACACGGGGTATTTTGAGCTAAAACTTCACATACACACTCTGGGGACATCAGAGACTTATTTTACATCTTGTGAAAAGGGGCATAATAGGTCCCCTTTAATGTAAATTATTTGGTCCTCTAAGCTGATGCTAATCAATAAGTAGAATTGATTTGACTTTTTCTTTTCCTTTTCTTTCTTACATTTTCCATACACCCTCTTATTTCTATTTGTGTCTGCAGAGACGTTGAGGGAAATAAGATTGAAACTGTGGGAAATGTGACCTTCAGGTCCTGTAACATGCTAACAGTGCTGTGAGTATTCCCACCCTCCCGTAACAGCTTCTCAAAGCTCTCTTCCTCTCTTTCCGCTGTGTGATGATCAGATGACCCCAATGAACATTACAAATGTATTCCAGTATTTAAAGGGTTAGTTCACCCAAAAATGAAAATTCTGTCATTAATTACTCACCCTCGTGTCAGCCCATCTTCGGAACACAAATGAAGATCTTTTTGATGAAATCTGAGAGCTTTCTGTCCCTCCATTGGCAGCTACGCAACTACTACTTTGACACAAAAAGTTCATAAAGACATCGTAAAACTAATCCATATGAATTGAGAGGTTTAGAAGAGACATGATCGCTTTTTGTGATGAACAGATGAACTGATTCAATTTAGGCTTTTATTTACATTTAAACTTTTATCAACTTTGAACAGAACCTCCACCGAACCGGCTTGAAGCGCGAGTACAAACCTTTTGCTGAAGCTCAAACGTGCTGCACGAGAATGAACCTCATTGGTTCTAGCACGTCAAGTGAACATCCTTGAGCTTCCGTTTACCACAACTGATGTGTCCGTTTATATATAAATAAAAGCCTAAATTAAATCTGTTTATCTTATAAAGCGATCGAGTCTCTTCAAAATAATTTGGACTAAACCAATTAGTTTTACGATCTCTTTATGAACTTTTTAAAGAGTCAAAGTGGAAAGTGTAGTTGTATAGCTCTCAATGGAGGGACAGAAAGATCTCAGATTTCATCAAACAGATCTTCATTTTTGTTCCGACGATGAACGAAAGTCTTATGGGTTTGAAACAATATGAGAGTAATTAATGACATGCTTTTCGTTATTTGGGTGAACTAACCCTTTAAAAAGTAGGGTACAACAGGTAATCAAGTCCCACTGGTGTCAAAGGTCCTTTTAATTTTATTTTATTTTCTCCCAAAACACTAAATAGAAACAGTAAAAAAAAAAATCTAATACGGGGGGGTGGGGGGGGTAGGGGTAGACGGAGACGGACCTTTTGACTTGAGCGCGGCGACTTCTCCAACGGGGGGGGGGGGGGGTAGAGACGGAGAGCAACTTCTCCAACGGGGGGGGATGGACGGACTTTTGTCTTGAGTGCGGCGACTTCTTCAACGGGGTGGGGGGGCTGGGGGTGGACGGACTTTTGACTTGAGCTCGGCGACTTCTAAGGGCCCCCCCCCCCCGCCTCGGGCCCTGGGCTTTCCCCCCCGCTACCACGCCCCTGGCGGCAGTGCCGCCTTTACCTTCGTTTTGTTGTTGGTTTATTTTATGATTATTAAAGTGTTGAATGTTCGCCGGTGTCACGACTACCAGCCCTGCAACCCCGCCCAATAACCACCAACGAGCTCTTTCACCCGAATATTGACTGTCTCCCGAACTCCAAATCCCATCATGCCTCACTCATGCACTGATTCCGTTCACAGCTGTGAGTAATGATCACACACACAGCTGTTACTCATTCCCAGCCTTATATAAACCACACTCACAGCACACTCAGTGCGAAGTCTTGTTTCACCGTTGTGTACATTTCTGAGCGTTTCCTAGTTCCTAGACCTTCTGCCTGTTTCCTGGATCTCGCATTGTCTGCTGCCTCCCCCTGATCCCCTGCCTGGTTCCCTGTACGCCTTGCCTGCCCTGCTACACTGATTCTACTTGTATTGGACCCTTATCTGTCCAATACAATTGATCTTGATCTTGCATTCAAACAATAAACTGTTGCAAATGGATCTGACAGAAGACTTCGCCTACAGAAGATCCAGCAACGGCATCTGCTTGGTCAGCCGCTTTCTCCGCTCAAGCCAACCAGCTCGCTGCTCATCAGCACCAACTAAACCGCCTAACTTCATTAACCGAAGATTTGATTCAAGCGGTCCGAGCGCTACAGACCTCTGCCTCAGATCCGCCTCCGGTGCCTACGCTACCACCTGCTGCCCACGCTCCCGAGCTCCAACCCTCTGCGAGCGCGAGTCCCCGCCTTGCTCTTCCTGAGAAATTCGAGGGGAACCCAAATAAATGCAAGGGCTTTGTTCTCCAGTGCTCGTTGTATCTTGACCAGCAACCCACGTCTTATTCTACTGATGCCAGTAAAATGGCCTTCGTTTGCTCACATAGTGCTTCGTTCCGCTTCCTGTTCAGCTACTGTTCGGACGCTCTTGCTTACTGCTCCGCGCTTTGCTCTATCGCTTTTAAATTTTTTATTCCCTCAATCGCTTTTATATTTTTTTATTTTATCTCCTTTTATCACCTAATTTTAACTTCAGCAAATCAGCACAAACGCTTGATTACTACAAAAAAGCAGAATTCTTTTCTCCGACCAGCCTCCCACTGAAAGCTTACATTCTGGGGAAGGGAAAACACAACTGCCTACATTCTAAAGGATAAGAGAAAATGCCTCTTCTGGAATCTACTTGCTGCACTAACTGCCAGAGACTTTCACAAAGGATTGCAGTTCTTGAAACAAAGTTACTTGTGGGACCGTCATGGACATCCTCAGCATACAGCCGGTGAGTCCCATGAATCTAGTGCTCCAATACAGGCCATACTGAGTGTAGAGAAACAAGCCAATCGACTTACAAATCGATGGCACAAACAGGGAGTGAGACCCAAAGGCACTCGAGACATCAGATTGTCACGAGCATCACATATTGCTGCAGTAGCATCCTCTACCCCAGATACGGCTCTGACAAGGATTGCAAACACTGGTCTCCTACCACCGCCTATACATCTTGAGAACAGATTTGAAGTATTAATGAATGAGGAATCCCTGAATGTGATGAATGTGATCGAACACAGACTGAACCAGCCAGTAGCTAACACTGCTATCTGGCGCTCAAGGTCGAGCAGACAGCGGCACTCAGCTTAGAGCGCAGCCGAGCACAGGACTCTGATAGTGGGTGACTCCATAATCAGAAACATTATTAGCAGGGATACAACTACGTGCTGCCTTCAACAAGCAACGACTTCTGATGTAAATAGGGAACTTAAGAACATTCTGATGAAACATAAGACTGCAAATCGACTCATCATTCATGTGGGGAAAAATGATATTCATAAAGAGCAGTCAGAACTCCTTAAGAAGGATTTCAGTGAACTTTTTGAAACACTTAAAAGACTGAAAGTTCAGACATTCATCAGTGGACCACTCCCAGCAAGAGGAACTAACAGGTTTTCACGGTTCCTTGGGCTCAACACATGGCTGCAAAAAACCTGCAATATAAAAGGAGTGAACTTCATTGACAACTTCAATCTTTTCTGGAGTCAGAGGCAACTGTTTCAACAGGATGGGCTCAACCCAAACAAACTTGGTTCAAGAGTGCTAAAGGGCAATATCTACTTCTCCCTCAATCATCCTTCTGCAGTGTGCGACAATCTACTCAATCTGAATAGCACACACACACCTGGACACAGTATGAATGACCACAGGACTTCACTTCAGCACCTGAATGGACATGCGGTTGACACATCACACAAGGACAAGGATGACACCATGCAGCCACAACAACTTCTGCTCACGGACACAATATCAGCAGAGCCCCACCCACAGAGCTCACCACAGACAGACCGGGATATATTAGAACTGCTCCAAGATTCAGCTCCCAAGGACAACATTCCGGAAAACAGCGAGGGAAACCAGGACAGCATATTACAGCCTCCGATAACACCAGGGCAACAGCGCCTCTCCCCAGACACGTTATCCCTCTCTCCAGCATCTCTACTTCTGTGATTCTCAGAGAAAATGGAAAAACTGGTGTATGCTGGAACCAAACTATCCCACTCTTTTGCTGCAAGCCCCCAGATGTCAACCAAAAAACGGCAGGCCCTACAACCCCCAAAGCCTGCGGGCCCAGTCCCTCCTCCTCCCCCTCCTCCTGTGAGAGCTCTTCGGCCTCTGCCACAGCGCAAGGGCTCACACCCTCCATCTGCTCGAGGTGAACCAAAAACAACTGATACCAGCTCTCAGTGATATGTGTCGGGTCCCCGCTATGATAACAGTAACTTTCTTAAATGTTTACAAAACAAGCGGGAACCCAGTGTGCCTGAATCTTTCTCTATTGCTGTTCAATTACATGATAGAAAATCTAAGGCCTTCAAAAGCCGTACAGCAAACCCATCTAATCTGGTGCCTATTACGCGCCAAACTAAGATTGCTGTGGGGACAAAAAGTAAGACTGTTAAGTTAGCACTTTTAAACATCCGCTCACTTAAAAATAAATCACTTCTAGTCAACGATTTAATAACCACATACAACCTGGACTTTATGTTTCTAAATGAAACTTGGTTAGAAGACAGCTGCAGTGGAACAGTCCTCAATGAAACATCCCCTCCTAACTTTACTTTTATGAGTGTCTGCAGAGCGGGTAAGAGAGGCGGGGGCTTAGCTGCTCTTTTTAAAGATGTATATGAATGTAAGCAAATATCATTTGGGAATTACCCATCTTTTGAATATCTAGGTATTGTGTTAAAAGGTGCTCCACGTATTTTACTTATCATTATTTACAGGCCTCCAAAATACTCTCCATCCTTTGCTGAGGACTTTACAGAACTGCTATCAACAATTTCCTCAGAGTTTGATTGTTTTGCCATTGCTGGAGATTTTAACATTTACATAGATAATGCAGAAACCAATATGGCAAAATAAATCAAAACTGTTTTAAAAACTTTTGATCTGACTCAGCATGTACATGGTCCCACACACAATCGTGGACACACTCTAGATTTACTTATCTGTATGGGTTTAAACATCTCATTGATTGTTATTAAGGATGTAGCACTGTCTGATCATTTCTGTATTTTTTTTAATATATTGATCTCTCCTGCCATTGAAGCTAGATCTGTGTCTGTCAAGAAGAGATGCTTAAATGAGAACACTAGTGTGCTATTTATGAAGGCTATATCTCTAAAACCAAGCATATCTGCTGACTGTTGATTTTCTCCTTGATTCTTTTAACTCAAAAGTTAAAAGTGTAATTGATGATATTGCTCCTGTGAAAGTCAGAAAGAATAGTGGTAGACAAAAAGCACCTTGGAGAAACTCAACAGCTGGGCAAAATATGAAAAGACAATGCAGAAGAGCAGAGCGCATGTGGCGGAAGACAAAACTTGTAGTCCATTATAACATCTACAAAGACAGCATCCATGCTTTTAATATTGAACTAGGCAAAGCTAGACAGACTTTCTTCTCGAATATTATAAACAGAAACTTAAACAACACACACACTCTTTTTGCTACTGTAGAGAGACTGACAAACCCCCTAAGCCAGATTCCCAGTGAAATGCTCTCAGACAGCAAGTGCAGTGAGTTTGCTTCTTTCTTCTCTGAGAAAATCAATACTATCAGAAAGGTGATCAGCACATCCTTGAGTTGCTCTGGGGTCAGACAGATCAGACCACAACCTGAGAAAGTAGTTACTATGTCTGTTTTCGAAGAAATTGAAGGCACAATTTTGGAAGAAACCATACAGCACCTTAAAACATCAACCTGCGCCCTTGACGGACTTCCCACATCTTTTTTCAAAAGTGTGTTAAACAGCTTCGAAGCAGATCTCCTAGAAGTGGTAAATGCCTCAATTCTCTCTGGGAGTTTTCCAAACTCCCTGAAAACTGCAGTTGTCAAGCCCCTCTGAAAAAGAGCAATCTGGATAAGACCATCTTAAGCAACTATAGACCGATCTCAAATCTCCCTTTCATAGGCAAGATCATTGAAAAGGTTGTCTTTAATCAGCTGAACAAATTCTTAAGCTCGAATGGATTCTTTGACAATTTTCAATCTGGTTTCCGATCGCATCACAGCACAGAGACAGCGCTCATAAAGATAATAAACGATATTCGCTTAAATACTGATACAGGAAAATTATCGGTACTGGTACTACTCGACCTCAGTGGTGCATTTGACACTGTCGATCACGACATACTTCTTGACAGGCTGGAAAACTGGGTGGGGCTTTCTGGGATAGTCCTAAAATGGTTCAGGTCATACTTAGAAGGGAGAGGTTATTATGTGAGTATAGGAGACCATAAGTCTGAGTGGACATCCGTGACATGGGGAGTCCCTCAAGGCTCAATTCTTGCACCACTCCTATTCAACCTGCTCCCAATGAGCCAAATAATGAGAAAGAACAAAATTGCTTACCACAGCTATGCAGACAACACACAGCTCTACTTAGCCCTATCGCCTAACGACTACAGCCCCATTGACTCCCTGTGCCAATGCATTGATGAAGTAAACATTTGAAGTAAGTCATTGCGTTTGGAAACAAAGACGAAGTTCCCAAGGTGAATGCATACCTTGACGCTAGGGGTCTAACAACTATAAATCAAGTCAGGAATCTTGGTGTGTCTCTAGAGTCAGACCTTAGTTTCAGTAGTCATGTCAAAGCAATAACTAAATCAGCATACTATCATCTGAAAAATATTGCAAGAATTAGATGCTTTGTTTCCAATCAAGACTTAGAGAAACTTGTTCATGCTTTTATCACCAGCAGGGTGGATTATTGTAATGGACTCCTCACTGGCCTTCCTAAAAAGACCATAAGACAGTTGCAGCTCATACAGAATGCTGCTGCCAGGATTCTGAGCAGGACCAGAAAATATGAACATATCACAGAAGGCGTAGCAATGGATGAGAGTAAGGTCAAGGCAGTCTTGGACTGGCCACAACCCACGTCACTGAAGGCGTTGCAACGCTTCCTTAGGTTTGCGAACATTTACCGCCGCTTCATCAGAGACTTCACCACGGTGGCAGGGCCTCTGACTTCTCTGGTGCGGAAAGACGTGTCGCGTCTCCCCTGGAATGAGGGCGCCACCCACGCCTTCAACCAACTCAAGCAACGTTTCACTACGGCTCCCATCCCAACCCCGAGTTGCCGTTTGTAGTTGAGGTGGACGCCTCTAACACAGGCCTGGGCGCCATCCTATCCCAACGGCAGGGATCTCCTCCCAATTTATACCCCTATGCCTACTATTCCAGGAAGCTCAACGCAGCAGAGCGGAACTACGATGTAGGTGATCGTGAACTACTGGCTATCAAAGCCGCTTTCGAGGAGTGGCGGCACTGGCTGGAGGGAGCCTCACACCCCTTCACGGTATTCATGGATCACAAGAATCTAGAATACCTCCGTACAGCCAATAGGCTGAACCCCAGACAAGCCAGATGGTCTCTGCTCTTCAGTCGATTCCAATTCACGGTCACTTACCGTCCTGGTTCAAAGAATACTAAGGTCGATGCTATATCTTGTCAACATGACCCGGACCTGACCCCCCAGACCCCTGAAACAATCCTGAACCCCGACCTCGTCTTCGGCCCTATCCAGTGGGATATTGAAACCGAGCTCAGTCAGGCCAATGCCCAGATAGAAGTTCCTCCAGACTGTCCTCCCTGCCCATTGATCCTCTGCCTGTTTCCTGGATCTCGTATCGTCTGCTGCCTGCCCCTGATCCCCTGCCTGGTTCCCTGTACGCCTTGCCTGCTCTGCTACACTGATTCTGCTGGTATTGGACCCTTATCTGTTGATTTTGCATTCAAACAATAAACTGTTGCAAATGGATCTGACTGAGTCTGATGAATCACAACAGCCGGTTCCCGCCTCCTGCTTCCCATAACAACTAACCTTGTTACAGTTATGAAATGCTAAAATAATAATAATAAAAAAATATATATATTTAGCACACTATTTCACAAAGTGCTTAATTTAATTTTTCTGCTCATCTTCCATGTTTATGATCAGCAGGAAAAAGTATTGGCACTGACCCAACCAAATCTAAAATTCACGAACATTTTCATATATTTAATGCACAATCCATTTTCATATAATTGCGCTATTCAGTGGATGAATAAATAAAATGGAGATGATTGTGGATTATTAAACTTATGTAAATGTTTGTAAATGTAAGATTTGATTGGGTCTGTGCTATCTTGCGATTGGTAAAAATGTTTTCTAAGATGTTCTATGGTAGATGAGCGGAAAAGTTTTTTTTTTTTATGGCATACCGTTTATCATAATATAAAGTAAATCATAATATATAATTCTATTTTCACATAATCATATTTATAGGGGGATTTTTAGCCCTGTTGTACCCCACTCTTAATGTGCATAGTTTGAGGTCCTTCTTGCCAAAAAAATAATAATAATTAGGTCAAAATATATTTTTAGGCAAAGTATTTTCATCTCCCTGGTTCTTGCTTTTTTTATTTTTAATCACTGTTCTGCAGAAATCAGAGCAACAGACTTATCTGCCTTTGTTCATTTTGAAACTTAGTTTCTATTAGACTATTAAGTAGAATAGTGATATGTGTGGACTTCAGTAATGAATATTATGCAATATTTTCAGATTATAATTTCACTGATTATACGCATGAGTTACTCTGTTGATTAAAGGTCAGATCCCATTTACCTTCTAAATTGATTTTTGTTTTTGCACTCATCACCATTGACACTGTTGTGTACTCTTTTGTATTTCTTGCACATTCCATTCCTCTGAAAGGGTCGTCATGTTTCTGTCCACCAAGATAAATGTTTTTTTGTTTTTTTTTGCAGGGTCCTCCAGCGGAACTGCATTAGTTACATACACTTGCAGGCTTTCTCTCTGCTTCGTAAACTGGGCGAGCTGTAAGTCCTCAGGCATTCCATTCCATCATAAATATTTGTCAAAATAATCACCACAAAGTGTTCTCTGGAGTTTACTCGTGACCCATTTCTGTGCTATTTTTGAGAAGCTAAGCTAAAATGGATTTCCTTATCAATTTTAAAGTCCGGTTTGGTCCTACTCCCATCCAGCTCGACTAGTAACATGTGACATCAGTCCTCAAATAGTTTGGCATCAGACTGTCTTGCTCATCAATTCTGTCAACAGATGCCTATTTGAATGCAAAAGGCACTAATATTTTCTCTCTCCACAGGGATTTGTCCAATAACAGAATCAAAGCAATCCCTCCTGATCTTTTTGTCAATCTTGGAGACCTGCTTCAGCTGTGAGTCTTCCATTAATATGCACATTACAAACCCCAAACTGGTTCTAATGGCTGTATGGCAGGGGCATGTGATGAGCTTCTGTTGAACTGTTTTTTTTTTATTATTTTTTATTCCAATATAAAGTGCCCCAGTTCCATTTGATGTATATACGTTTCCCAGTTAAAGACGTTTCCCAGTCTTTTTTTTTGTAGAATTATATTAACATTTTGTAGGATCATCTATTAACCATTTATGAAAACTAAGTCATATCAAAATCTCATTTAGCTTACACTAGTGTTCAACTGTTTTCAACACTGATTATAATAAGAAATGTTTCTTGAGCAACAAATCAGCATATCAGAAGAATTTCTGAAGGATCATGTGACACTGAAGACTGGAGTAATGATGGCGTCACAGGAATAAATTACATTTTAAACTATATTAAAATAGAAAATAATATTTCAAAATATTACTGTTTTTACTGTATTTTTGATCAAATAAATGCAGCCTTGGTGAGCATACGAGACAAAAGAGGTGCTTTAAGAGCATACAAGCTGCTTTCAAAAGCATTAGAAAATCTTACTGACCCCAAACTTTTGAACGGTAATGTATGCTTTTTTATTTATTTATTTATTTTAAAATAAATACAATAATACGGTAACAAAGCATATTTTGTGGAGTTTTTGTGTTGTTTGGCTATATTCAAGAAATTTTACAGTATATCATCAAACACGAAGGTCGGGTGCACCTTTAATTTAACCCGAGTTGTCGATGATGTTGGTTCCATCATTGTGTGATGGAATGGAAAAATGATTGTTTTAAGGCCAATTCACGCTCCACCGACAGACACCGGCCAACGCCGACAGTCACCAGATTACAGTACATCACTTCTCAGACATTCAAAGACCCAACAAACACATATTCAACATGTTCAATCGGCAAAAACGAGAACCGACCAACACCAAAAGACGCAGACTGGGGTAACACACCGATCCGTCAAAACCTGACGAAGTGTTGCCGTCTGTCAATGCAGTGTGAATTTGCTTTTGCATGATATTTCATATTATATTTTGTGATTTTTCAGTTGACTCTTGCCTTTAATTTGTCTGTAGGAATATTTCATATAACCCTATTATGGACCTCCAAGTGGACCACTTTGACAAGCTGCATAAGTTAAAGTCACTGTAAGTCTTCTTATAATTTTCTATAATGATAAACTGTAAGGTTTTGAAGCTGAAATAGAGGAAGTCTGAAGTATGTTTTAAAGATGCTGCAAGTGATGTTATCCATTTTGTAACTTTCCACAGTGAATATTGACTATACTAAGACACACACAAGCCCTCTCCCCCTTTTATACCTCTCTGTTTTTGTTTTGTTTTGTTTGAAAAAAAAAAGGCACATTCACATGAATCCACAGGAAAACCTTGCAATTATAATAATAATGTGCTGTTTGCGGGCCCCTTTCAGCACAGTACAATGGTCTTACCCAAACTTCACGCAGTGAACATTGCCCTCGTCTCTACTCAACAGCACAAAAACGATCTGCTTTTAGGTCATGCTTCAAAGGCTTCCAGATAGCATCTTGGGCACAAAACTGCATAGTTGTAGGAAAAAGAGGTGTGAATACTGAAATGCAATGGTAGTTTTCTAAAGAGTGAACTCTGAGAGAAAGCTTTTTGTGTCACAGGAGCATTGAGGGAATCGAAATTGGGAACATCCACAGAAGGATGTTTGAACCTCTCAAGAACCTGACTCACATGTGAGTGCTGCTTTTTTAAAAGTTTTAATATCAAAATGCTTTAGATTCTGCTTGCTCAGTTTCTGAAAATTGATTGAAATCTCTATTTTCTGAAGTTATCATTGAGAATGATTCGGTTTTTAATGTTTAAATAAAGTCTTGAGATGGATGTTCAAGATATTCTGATTGAAATGCCTGACAACTGAACATCTCTAGAATTATTCGTACTTTAAAACATTAAACAAATGATGGCAGATCGTGGAGATCGAATGCAGATGTTTTGTAATGTCTGGAATATCCTCATTAAAAAAAGATAAAGACAAACTCTTTAGTTCTCATCCCAGAAATTGACTCTAATATTTTGTATTCTATTAATTATTTATGGTAATCATTTTCTCCCATGGCCTGGTGTAGTAATTGGGAGTGATTACGATGTATCGCCTGAAAACGTGAAAAAAATATGCAAGGGTGTTTGGAATATATATTGGAGTGTTTGCAATTCCCTTGTCAATCTTTTCAGCTACTTGAAGCCCCAGTGTTGTGTCTTTCTGCTTTGCACATATATTGCAGTATATAAATTACACTGGGAAAAATGAGAACACTCAATGAATTTTGCAGGTAATTTATGATGCTTCCTCTCATGCTTTTTTTGTTGACTGTGAAATTCAACTCAAGACTTGCTTTTCTGATCTTTTATCTCTCAAATTCGATGGATGGATGGATTCAGACTTGACATTTTTTGAGCATAAATGAATCAATATTCGTAGCCATGTCGTGACAGGACTGAAATGATGATCTGATTATGTTTGTCATTTGTGCTTCTTTCTTTTTTCTTTTTAGCTACTTTAAAAAGTTTCAGTACTGTGGCTATGCGCCTCACGTCCGCAGCTGCAAGCCCAACACTGATGGCATCTCATCTTTCGAGGACCTTTTGGCAAACATCGTGCTGCGTGTCTTTGTCTGGGTTGTCTCGGCAACGACATGCTTCGGCAACATCTTTGTGATCTGCATGCGATCCTACATTCGCTCGGAGAACAAGCTCCACGCCATGTGCATCATCTCTTTATGCTGTAAGATTAGATACAAAATATCATGCAGTGTCATTTTAAAGTGTGACTTACAGTAAGTAGTGTCCACTTAAGTCCCCTTTGTCTGAATAGATTTGGCACTTTACACGGAGTTTAAGTGTGCAGGTTGCAGTGCACTGCTCATCATCTCCAAAAGCAATTTCACACATAATTAGTCTCAACTTTCTTTTTTGGAGTTTTTTTTTTTATTCATAAAATTGTCATAAAAAAGGAATAAAAGTAATAATAAACTCAAAATTGCGAGAAATAAAGTCAGAATTGTGAGATTTTTTTTCCAGAATTGTAAGAAATAAACATGCAGTTGTGAGTTCTAAAATCTGAATGGCAAAATAAATTGAGAAAAATATCAGAATTGTGAGATAAAAAGTTACAATTACCTTTTTAATTTTTTTATTCCATGGCGGAAACGAGCTTCCATAAAATACTGTTTAGCCTGACATGGATTAACATAAAAGTGGTTCCCCAAAGTGGAGACGTTTGTGTGATTCAAGATTTCTTATTCAGGTGAGAAAAAAAAGTCAATGGTGCTCTTTAGAGAAACTGGCTGATAGCATGAGGGCAGCTTATAGCTGGCCAACAGCATTCAGAATCTGTTTTCACCCAACAGTTTTGTTCACTTTTGACAGAAGTACCACCACGTATGAGGTCACCCATTCAAACTGACCACTGATGAATGAAGCAAATGCTGTGTTTCATTAAAACTTTCCTAATTCATACTGCGCACACTATAGCCTTCTCCCATAGGAAATAGGAAATAGCGAGCCATGAAAAGAAAAGCAGTTCTTTCATTTCTGTCCTTTGATATGGTTTAAATAAGAGGATATCAAAGTTGTGCACTGGGCATCTGTATGCTCCAGAGAGCTGCCATGGGCAATTCAGATGAGTGTGTAGCCTAATTCAAAATACATGGAAATCAATTGTTCAGAGTGTTCACTTTGAAGTGTAGATGACAACACTTAGATGTAGCAACATCATTTACAGGTTTTTTTTTTACAGTTATAATTCATTCCTTTTTTACATTCACCTACTAACATGGCCACAAGCCACAATCTTAAAAACCACATGACTAATATCGTGTAGGTCTCCCTTGTGCTGCCAAAACAGACCACGGGACCTCTGAAGGCATCCTGTGGGATTCTAGCACCAAGACATTAGTAGAAGAGTCCTACAAGTTGTGAGGTGGGGCCTCCATGGATCGGATTTGTTGGTCCAACACATACCATAGATGCTCAATCGGATTGAGATCTGGGGAATTTGGAGGCCAAGGCAACACCATTCCTACACATTATTGGCGCTTTCGGCTGTGGACAGGGGTTATCATTGGCACTCTGACCAGTCTGCTGCTACGCAGCCCCATACATGGCAAACTGTGATCCACTGTGTGTTCTGACACCATTCTATAATGGCCAGTATTACGTTTTTCAGCAATTTGAGCTATAGTAGCTCTTCTGTGTGATCAGACCAGACAGGTGAGCCTGTGCTCCGCACGTGCATCAATGAGCCTTGGGCGCCCATGATCCTGATGCTGGTTCACTGGTTGTCCACTTTTGGTAGATACTAACCACTGTATACATGGAACATCCTACAAGACTTGCCGTTTTGAAAACGCTGTGACCCAGTATTTAGCCATTAGCCATCACTATTAAGCCCTTGTTAATCAGTTAATCAGATCTTTTCACTTGCTCATTTTTCTGCCAGTGGTGTTAATGTTGTGTCTGATCAGTGTATATGGAACCCGAGAGTAGTTGAATGAAAATGAAAGTGAGTTAAATATTATATCATATTTATAAATGATCATAATAATATATTTTTTTAGTGTATTCTATTTGTATACATGCGCACACTATTGTTCAAAAGTTTGTGTTCAGTATGATTTTTTTATGTTGTTGAAAAGTCTCTTATGCTCACCAAGGCTGAAATATCATTACAATATAGTTTTAAATAACTTTTTTATTTTATTTTTATATTTTAAAACATAATTTATTCTTTTGATAACAGAGCTAAGTTTTCAGCATCATTACTCCAGTCTGCAGGGTCACATGATCCTTCAGAAATCATTCTAATATACTGATTTGAAATAGAAACCCTTAATAATATTATAAATGCCTTTACTGTCAGTTTTGATCAATTTAATGGATCTTTGCTGAATAAAAGTATTCACTTTTATTATCTGTAAAGCTGGATTGAAACAATATGTATTGTGAAAGCGCTATACAAATAAATGTGAATTGAATTGAAAATGTGAACTTCTTTCAAAACTAATAGGAAAATAATAAAAAATACCACAACATGTGGTCTGGTCTTTTGCCCTTTAGAGCACATTTGTTGCTATTACAGTAAATGGGTAACATTAATGCATTTTCTTGGGAAACTTTCGTTTTCTTGGGAACTCGCCCCACTGAGCTGGTCATGTAATTTGCTCTTTGTCAATCATAATTGACCCATCACCGGCCTTAGGCATGGGCAGGTATTGCTGAGATAATACGCAATTTGCTAATTCTTTACTGTTCGACACCTCATAGCTGTTGGTGGCTGAATCGCTCAATATTGTTTCCTGTGACTATAACAGTGTGATCGTCATAGGTAATGTTTTTCTGTTAAATGTCTATGGGTGAGAAATGTTCTCAATTTTAGGGCAGCTGGAGGGGGGGAAAGAGTCAGACGTGGAAAGTGGCAGACTGGTAATAAAGGCTTCTTGATGTTCAGCCTGCTGTCAGATTTCATCAAACTTTTATTATACATTGTGCTTGCTTGGTTGATGCAACCTGTGCTGCAAAAAAGAAAACTGTTTTGTTGTGTCAAAAAAAAACATTCTAAAATGTTGGTTTAGTTTTTATTTATTTAAAAATATTCATAATTATGTAAATCAATCAATATTTTAAATGAATAGTGCAGGTAGTTGGAGAAACACACACACAAACAATTGGGTTTTTTTGTTTTTTTTTACTTAAAGCTGTATTTCCTGAAATGTAAATAAGTAACTCATAAAAATGATGTGTTAACCTCATCCGTATTTGTCTAGCTTACAAGTTCATTCTCTGTTCTCTGCTACACAGGTGCAGATGGTCTGATGGGTGTCTACCTCTTCATGATTGGCGCCTATGACCTGAAGTTCCGAGGCGAGTATAACCGTCACGCTCAGGCCTGGATGGATAGTGCACCCTGTCAGGTGATTGGATCTCTAGCCATGCTGTCAACAGAGGTGTCAGTGCTGCTCCTCACATACCTCACCCTGGAGAAATACATCTGCATTGTCTACCCGTTCCGGTACCTGACCCCTGGCCGCAGACGCACTGTTACCATTTTGGTGGTCATCTGGATCTTGGGCTTTGTTATTGCTTTCCTGCCACTGGTCTTTAAAGGGGTTTTTAAAAACTTCTATGGTACCAATGGCGTTTGTTTCCCTCTGCACTCTGAGCAGCCAGAGACTCTCGGAGCCCAAATCTACTCCATTGTGATCTTTCTGGGTACGTGAGAATCCCTTCATTTTGTTGAAAATATGTTCTTTTGGACAACTGTCAGGTTCTGGCCTAATCTCAGGCATTTTCTCCACAGAATAATAGATTTTTATTGATTCCGTATAAATCTTTTAAGACAGACCTACCATGAGCTCTGAGGTTATTAATCAACAGAAAATACTTAATTTTCAACTTAAAAAAATACAATTCTGTGTGTGTATATATTTCAGGATATTTATTAATTTGATAAAAAATGAATAAACACTAATATTGTGCAATATTCTTAAATTTAAAATAACTGTTTTCTACTTTAAAGGTATGGTAGGCAAACGCGGAGAGGCTAGCAATAGCAAGCTAGCTTTGAAAGCATAAGATCCCACCCTCCCTTCAGAGCGTCTCCAAAGCCACGCCTCCTTCAAAACACATGAACACACACAGCAGAGTCTGCAAAGCATCAGGAGAGATGGCGTTAAATTACCTCATGTCTCAAAGTAAATAACATTACAATAATAATGAACGTAAACAACTTACAGAGGTATGGAAATACATGTTGATAGGAAAGAAGGACAACGTACCATTGCATTCGGACCACTTCTATTATTGATTGCTATCAGGATGTGAAGAGAGTTTCAACCAATATATCGAAGTGTTTATAAAAAAATTGCCTACCCTACCTTTAATATATTTTAAAATGTAGGCCTAATTTATTTCAGCAGCCATTACTCCAGTCTTCAGTGTCACATGATCCTTCAGAAATCCTTCTAATATGTTGCTTTGTTTTATTTATTTATTTCAAAATATTCATATATAAATCAATCAAAAATTTAAATCAATGTTTATATTTATTTTATGTGAATACATAATTTACAGTTGGAGAAAGACAATGCTGGCAGTTGAAACAAAAATGACATTTTTTGACAATATTTAGATACAGTCTTTTGCCCTTTTTACTGATATCCTGTTTGATATCCTTATGGAGAAAATCAATGGGAAAACATGTCTGGAACCAAGACTTGTGAAAAAGCGGTTGGTTGTTGCACTCTGTTAAAGGTTTTTAAGATTTAAAACTAAGACATTGAGGCACAATGATTCCCCCCTCAAACATTTACTTCTTTTTTACTAGATTTCCTGTTTTAACAGCAGTCAGAGTTGTTGGACTCTTTTGTTCCTGGTTGGGAAATTGTTCTCTCTGTGAGTGCTCAATTTGTTTGTATGATAGAGGTCATATCGAAAGGTCTAAATTTAGATTGGAAGAAAGGACAGTAGGGAACAGACGTTATTTAGAGAGCATTGAAGAAATGTGGTGGGGTCCAGCAAGTCCATTCATTTTAACAATAACTTAATCTTTTTTTTACCTGAAAGGTGTTTAAAGTGTATTGTTGTGGTGCTTGTGTTTTGTATTGAGGTCATCCTTCACATTGATGAACAATTTGCACTGTTATACGTCATATCAAAAACATATCCTGTTTCCAAATAGGTCTCAATCTGGTGGCTTTTCTCATCATCGTTCTCTCTTATGGAAGCATGTTTTACAATATCCAGAGAACAGGAACACAGACGACCAAATACACCAACCACATTAAGAAAGAGCTGACCATTGCCAAACGCTTCTTCTCCATTGTCATCACCGATTCACTGTGCTGGATTCCCATTTTCATTCTCAAGATTCTTTCACTAATGGAGGTCGAAATCCCCGGTAAGTGCCTCACGAGGCTTTTTAAAGTCTTCAGGGTTTTCAATTTTTTTTCAAGGATAAGTCTGAAATTGAGCCAAAGCAGAATCTTTTTTCAGCGTTTTTTTTTATTCATCATGCTCTTTCATTTAACATCAGTGTCTATAAGTATTGAAAAGGTTAAAGGGGTCCAAACATGTGCAAGTAACAGAAAGGGTATGCAAAACTTTTACTTGACATTAAAATTTATCCGGGGCTAGAAAAAGAAAAATTATTTCATAATCTCTGTACAGTGCTCTCCCTCGTGTTGTTACAGACCCGTATGCATTTCTTTCATCCATGGAACACAAAAAGGGCCATTTTGAATAATGTTATTTTGTATATAATCACAATGAACGATGGCCGGAGATTTGAAGCTTCAAAGATGATGCAAAAGTATCATAAAACTGTCATAAACATAGTTCAAATGATTATATTCCAATCTGAAGGGATATAGATTTGTATGAGAAACTCCAAAAAAGTTGTCATATGTCAAGTATGTCAATATCAGTTCCTCGTACAAAGCCATCATATGTCTTTAGAAGACTTTCGTTTTTTTTTTTTTTTTTTTTAAATGTTCACCTTTTGTCTGCCACTGAAGAAAGAAAGTCTTAGGAAGTGTTCACACTTGGCAGGTTTGGTTTGATTAAAACAAACCCTGTTCCTAATGCTCTGTTAGTGCGGTTCATTTGAATAAGTGTGAACGCTGCCATCCGAACCCCGGTGCACACCAAACAAGTGGACCAAGACCGCTGAAAAGATGGGTCTCTGTCCGCTTCCAAACCAATTAGTGCGGTTCAAATTAAATATAGACGCAACACGGACCTAAGCTTCAATGCATATGTTGACTTAACGATTTACTATACAGTACATTGCATTTTAAATAGAAACCAGACGTTCCTCTGGTAATGTCAGCAACATATAAAACCCAACCTCTTTGTCCAGAGGAACATAGAAAGCTGGAATGAAGACCATTTCTCCAGAAAATTGTCTTTCTCTCCTATGTCTCGACATAAAAAAAAAAAAAAAGAGATCTCTTGGCAAAATAACTGGTGTCCGGTCCCGTGAATTAAACAATAACGGGGAAAAAGTGTGAACACATCCTACAGATTTTGAACTGCATTTCAGAACTTTGCCTTCAAAGTATGTTTGCTATTCAAAAACATTTAATGCTCTTTTCATTCACATAATATTTAACAATGGCTGGGCAAATGACACTGTGTTTCACTATGATTACTTCTAGGACATTTCAATGAAACATTATAGTTTTTGTTCCCATCCTCTCTCTGAATTATTACATTTCCAGAGAGCAGTTGAGAAGTGCACTGCCTTGTTGAAAATGCTTTTTTCAAAGAAAAGAAATCAGCAATAAAATGACTTGAGATATCAACCCTCAATGCATAATTTTCCTCCCCATTACTCTTCTGAATTGAACCCTCTGCAGGAACCATCAGCTCGTGGGTCGTCATCTTCATTCTGCCGATCAACAGCGCTCTGAACCCCATCTTGTACACGCTGACCACACGGCCCTTTAAAGAGACACTGCTGCAGGTGTGGTCCAACTACAGGCTGCGGAGACCCCTGTTCAGCAGCCATCCACCTCACCTACCTTCCTTTACCTGGCAGGAAATGTGGCCTCTGCAGGAAAACAGCCAAACCCTTTGCTCCCCGGACGACCTGGCACATCCGACTGAAATGTCACACAACTCCGGGACCACCCAGTTACTTCACGTGGAGGGGCCGAACGGGACATGAGGTGGTCTGATGTGGTCCTGCCATCTGCATCCGACAGCACATACATTTATTTACATTTTTTTTGTATGTTTGTGGATGTCTCCATGCAGGGATAATAATGATGCACTGCATGTTGTGAGTGAGTGCGTGAGTGAGTGAGTGAGAGAGAGTGAGAATGAAAAAAGTTAGAGAGAGAGAGAGAGAGAGAGAGAGAGAGAGAGAGAGAGAGAGAGAGAGAGAGAGAGAGAGAGAGAGAGAATGACAAAAAGAGACGAAGATGGAGAGCAAGATCTTTGCAACCCCTGCTGGTTTGTGCTGGTCTAGCTGGTTTATAAAGGGAGAACTGCTGGTCAAAGGGATTGTTCAATTCTGACATCATTTACTCAGCCTCATGTCATTCCAACTCGTTTGATTTTCTTTCTTCTGCAGTACACAAAATAATGTTTTGTGTGTGTTTTTGTCAATGAATGTCAATTGGATCCAAAACAGGGCTTTTAGAGTTAACTAAACTAAAACTAAGCCTATAAAAAAAAAAAAAAAAACATTGTTTCTTGAAATTAGATAAAAATTGACTGAATAAAATAAAACAAAAATTAAGCTGATTTCAGATAGTTTCCTTTGCAAAATTTCTCATCATCCTTGAGCTCATCTTGATGTTCTAAAATAACTGAAACGGAAATAAAATTAATCAAAAGGTTTTTTTTAATTCAAAACTTGATTGCTAACATTTTAACTATATTAAAATGGATTGTATGAAAATGAAAATGAAAAAGGTTTTAAGCTCAAAAAAGGATATAAAAGTAACACCTTGGAAAACCACTGGAGCGCTGAAACTTTTAGACCCCACTGACTTTCATCATCATATATAGGCAAAAACAGCTGAAAAGCAAGAACATCGTATAAGTTTGTAACAACATGGAGGTTAGTAAATGTTGACAGCATCAGCACACCAGCATCCAAAATACAACATACAGCTAGTGGCCAGCAAAGCGGATCTTTTCAACAGGGACATAACAGCACAATTCATCTGATTGTATTGTATTGATAAGCCATTGATAAGGGTTAATCAGTTTGTTTACAAGAAGTGACTCATGCAGGGTCTTAAAAGACATGGCTGATTAATAAAAGTGTTTACTTAGTGTTTTATCATCAGCCTGTTTTATACATTCGACTTTTGCCCCTGTCTGTTGTATTGATTGACATCTTGTCTTTTCAATGTGGTGTGCAGCTATTCAGTGTTTAAAACGTGTTTCTTGTCCATCTTAAAATGTGTGTAGCATGTAAATGACTGCTGCTTTTTGTACAAAATGTAAATATATATTGTATAGAATTATTTTTATCTAGCCAAAGGTTCGTGCGCCAAAGGTGATGTTGTAGGAGCTCTTTGGTTTCCATAGGACATATCATTACTTATACTGTGAGGTGCAAAGGCAGTCCTGGTGTTTTAGAGACTTTTAATTCTGTCTGTTTAATTCAGTTTTAATTCTGTCAGTCATTTTAATTGTCTTTCTCTTTCAAAGCCACAGGAGGAACAAAGTGATAATGTCCACTCTGTTACCTTGTTTTTATTCTTGGATCATTAGAAGGTCTAGTTCACAGATTTTATTGAAATAACTCACTTTACAGAAACCCATGCATTATATTTGGTCATCCTTATTTGAATATTTTAATTTGAAACTTTCTGCCAGCATGCACACAATGCCATCTTCATTCAGGGAGTTATATATAAAGATGTATTGGGATGAATTTCACGTCAAGAGGTTATATTTCAAGCTATATTTCAACCCAAAAATTTAAATAAAGAAATAAGAAATTATATTTTGTTTTATGAAAGTACAATAAAGCCATATTTAGGACATTAAAAAGAATTTTTGCACTGTGCCATTTAAACACATTTTCTACTCAAATTCTCATTACCATAATGCAAAAAAAAAAAAATCTAATTGTAATTGCTATAATGTAAAAAACAATATTTGATTTAAATAGTTAAGTGTTCAAAATTATAGTATTTAGTGTACTATATTTAATCATGCAGATTTAAATTGTAAAAAAAAAAAAAAACAATGGAGTGAAATATGACCTGTTCATGTTTAGTAACCCAGATGCTATTTGATTGATAGAATAATTAAGACCTCTAAGCAGTTCATGGACTTAGGGGTTTTATGTTGGATGGGGACACATTTAAAAGAGCTGTCGCCTAATTATTGATAAAACGCCATGCGACTCTTGCAGTGCTCCTCTCTTACATGTGGAAGTGTATAATTTACATCTGTGATCACTTACAAATATTGTTTTCTGACATTGCCAATCCACCAAATGAAGAGGATACTTTCATGTTTGTGACAAGTATTTTAAAGAGACCTTTAATTTTATGAATGTAAAGATGACAAATAAAATAATAATAATAATAATAAACATTCCTGGCATTTCACTGTTCGAATGCAATGCTCCCTCAACTCACTATATCAGAAAGTGTTTGTCAGTGATGAAGCTGTTATATATTGCTTTGTGCAAAACTCACCTGTCGGTAAATGTGTAGTTTCCAAATGATTCACAGGTGGGATAATGTGCTATGGGTGTCAAGAAGTATGACGTTATAAGGATGTGATTCACTCATTCCAAAGGTGATATCTTTATACTGAACATACATACATTCTGTGCTATTCACTAATCATCACTGTTTCTAGTAATAAAAAAACACAAATGCCCTATAACATTAATTCATGTATTTTAATATATATATAAATACAATTTCTATCTTGTGGGACTGATACATGCCGTGAAGACGGGTTATAACATTCTAGAATTAAATTTTCTTCTATGAGGTGGGAAAGAGTTAGGTGAGCATCACACTAAACACGACGCAGAGTGTTACAAAAAATAAATAAATATCAGCAGCTATTCAGTGTTTAAAATGCTTTTCCTGTTAATCAGAAAATGTTTCTTGTCCATCTGAAAATGTATGTACAGTATGTTAACGACTGCTGCTTTTTGTACAAAATGTAAATAAATATACTGTATATTGTATAGTATTATTTTTTTATCTATAGCTAATCATGTTTAAGCACCATTTAGGTTCTTAACTGATGTTGTAGGAGATCTTTGGTTTCCATAGGACATATCATTACTTATACTGTGAGGTGCAAAGGCAGTACTGGTGTTTTAATTAGAGTCATTTTAATTATCTTTCTCTTTCAAAGCCACAGGAGGAACAAAGTGATAAGGCCACTTTATTCTTGGATCATCAGAGGTTCACAGTATACACAGTTTAAAACCGGGACATTCAATTTCACGGCCAGCCAGTCCATTAAAAGCCTAAGCAGACCGAACCAGATGCACACACAAATAAATACATTTTAAAAATAAGAAGTCCTTAGTCCTTAAATAGAGAATAAGCAGTTCCACAATTCCTGCAGGATTGTTTTCTTGAGGGTGCCTGAATCAATAACTAAATGAATATCCTGCATTTATTGCATTTTATTTTTTAATTTTCCATTTAAAAGTATACATTTAAAAGTCACATAGTAGGCCTAAAGTGTGCACAGTTATTAAGCACATGTTATCAATTTCACTGAACATCTATACCAAATCTCTTTGAATCAATAACGGTTTATTAAAACCTGCCGACTGACAGTCCACCTACTGGCTGGAAAAGATAATTAGGGCTTTATAACATTATTTTCTCTTTTTCATCACCACTAGGCTATAGGGAAAACAAAGTGAAAGAATTTATATTCAAATCTATATTATTTGACGTTTACGTGAGTGAATCTTCAAAAAGATCAGGGGCTTTCCACATTAATCTCAAGGCACCAAAGCTACTCACCAATACAAGGGGACACTGTCTTTTTTGTTGTCTTCTGACTGAGCTATACTGGGATGTGTTTGAAGTCCGCGGTCTTTTGCTTCTTATTTAAAGGAATAATTCACCGAAGATTGTCCCATATTTTTACTCACTCTAAAGCCATCCTAGGTCTAGGCCTATATGACTTTCTTCTTTCAGCCGAACAGTCATATAATAATCGCTGAAGCTGTTGATGAGGAGCTGAATATGATTGAAACCGAGATGTAATTCCTCAGATGTAAAGTTTGATCTGTATATCAGCATCGGGGAATAACATTATAATTTCGTTCACGGTAGAGAAAGCTGATTGCATGCACACAGGGAAAGTAACCGTGAAGACACTGAATTAAATGTAGGCCTAAACACAGCTTTTGTGTCTTTATCGGCTTTTCTGCATATAGGCCTTACTGGCCCTGATAATCATATCTTGTTCAATTTCTGTAAATCTAATTTTGTGAACGAATGACTCACTCACCTGTTGCTCTGTTCTTCGCGTCAACAGCCGCTTGCACCCCCTGCTGGTGAGACTGACTAACGGGTGTGCAATTTTTAATTTTCTGTCGAATTTGACGAGAAGGGTATTCCTGCACAACCGGAGGCTGCCGTTTTAGGACCGCAGTTTCAGGACCCTAGTTTTCTGTTACAGCGCCACCTACCGAATTGGATCACCCAAAACACAAATTTAACCCCTTTCGTGGCAAAGATCCAATAGTATCTGTCTGCAGTCTGCAAGACTTCAAGTTACGCCCCTTCAAGTTACGCCCACTTTAGCAAGACTTCAAGTTACGCCCCTTCAAGTTACGCCCACTTTTAGTCATGCCCCTTCAAGTTACGCCTACTTCCAAATTACCGCGAGAACAGTTCCATATGCTCTCGCACGAGTTTAACATAAACGAGAACAGTTAATTATCTCCAGAACAGTTTCATATGCTCTAGCACGAATTTAACATAACAGAAACCTCTGAGATGATATCTTCAAAATTCTTGTTTTGTCTGTATACAGCAAAGCAAGTTGCAATCTGCATTAGCACCAATGTATTGATAATGTATTGCTAGAAACCATATTGCAATGTATTGTTTTTTTTTAAATAAATATTTTTAAACATCTTTCCATGTCGTATTGTATGCCTGATGTGCTGACAATTCATTTTTGACAACACTAATGAACAGTTAAATGCACCGCTGTCAAACACATCTTATGATACTTTGAGACAAATTAACTACAAGCACAGTCATCACAAAAACTTTTATTGAAGGACAACAAGGGTTTATGCAAACACAATAAGTTCTGAACTTCTGGAAAATCAGACCGTGCCTCCAGCCGCAAAAAAACAGTCCATGCTGCAGTGTCCTGCAAAGTCATTTTCACAGTAGAACCCTTGTAGGTTTCCTCTTTGTCCACATCCCCAGTATCCTTCACAGTCTTTGTACAGGTCATTGCATAGAATGCAACGGGAGACCAT